AGTATTTTCAATGTTCTAGCAAATAGCTGACTCCTACTGCTACACTACACCTTTACAAGAGCAGAATCAGGCTGAAAATGGTATACTGCTGCCATACCTGGGCTGGAGCTGCATAATCTTCACTTTCCAGTTTTGATCATGTCCAAAAGATTCTATGCAGCATTGTGGGTGATTAATTACTTTCCACTCTGCAAGCTCTCTCCCACACACAAAACATTGCAAGCATTTCTCTATCTATTCTATAGCTCTTTCCAAGAAAAAATGTTTAATGAGCAACATTATCTTTTATTTTCAACATAACCTTTACCCTCACAGCTAATGCTAAGACACATCATGCTGCATACACTAAAAACCACCCCTTATTCCCTTTTTATTCCAGTAATTTTTTAAAAAAAAAAAACCTTTTTTTTGAATTGTTATTTTGTGGAACTGACTCCCAAGATGATGCTTTCCTGATCACTATAATGTTAACCTGTCCAAGTCTAGGATTAACCTTTATCTTTCTTATGTATATGTGTAAACTGTGCCTCTTACTTCTCCCTCATAGTCTTACTAATTAACCCATAGCTGGGGGAGAAGAGGCGGATTCATATCTTTCCTAAGGGTATTTGTGCATATATAACAGACCCAACTGGAATTCGAACTTGGCTCACCGATTTACAATTCTGAGCCATTATCCTTTGAACCACTCATGCATCCAAGCTTAGAGCACCTGTTATTCCTAACCATACTTGTATTGCCACTGTAAGGAGTAAATTCCTCTTAGACAGCTTTTTTCCAAGAACTGCCACTTTGTGGAATATTCTTGTGTGTATATTTCCATGAAAATTACAAGCTTAACCTCTTTAAGTCAAGGGGTCAATCGTTATCAATCCTCCTTATCCTCATAATCTTCACTTCAGTCTAACTCCTCTTATTTTCATATACGTCCTGAGTATTACGATAAACAACATCCGGCAGCGGTCTTCTCTGATCGGGAGACTTTGAGGAGTGTGACACCATCTCTTAATTGATGTTGTTCCTAGGTTCAACCTGACCCGGAGTGGTAGCACCTGTTAGGGTCCCAGCTATGGGCAAAGACTTAACCCCCAAACTGGGATCAAAACATGATGAAAGTATAAAAAGTTTTATAGTAAAAATACCAGCAATAAATTTCTGTAAGAAAAGGTGCAATATATTTTTTAAAAGAAATTACTAATGCGCCCAAGAAAATTAGATTTTGACATTAAATGACCCATAAGTAGTTGATATGCAGCTAAACAAAGAAACAAACATTCATATCACGCACGTCATTCAGTAAAACTCTACCATGAGTGGCTCTTGAGCTTTGTGAATCGCATAAAATAATTGGCATAACTGTTAAATGATGACTACATTTTTCAAAGGGGATCAGATTACCTTTCGTGTTGTAAGAAATTACTCGACGGTGTACCTTCGAATAAACGTCTGGCAAGGTTTGACGATGGCCAATTTGTCTCCATTATAGAAGCACGGATAATCGAGAAAATACTGTAAACATAAAAGAAACGATTACAGTACTTCCTCGATTATCCGTGCCTCTATGTTCCGGACTTCGATTATCCGGATGTGAAAGGAAGAGACAAATTAAAATTTGACATAACTTTTTTTTTTCAGTTGTCTCGACTAATCACATTCTAATATTTCATTTGAGGACATCGTTTTGAGAATTTTTTTTTTTTTTTTTTTTTTTTGCTGAAGGTGGGGTGGCACTTCGACGGGGTGTAATGGTTAACAAGCTTAACTTAGAAAACCAGACTGGACGCTAGATAAAATCAGTACAATTAATTCTTGTTAATTTTCCCGTTGTTTTCATGGCGAAGTACATACATTTGAATTATCGCAGCCTCATCACAACAGAGATTATGGCTTACGCAACTCTCAGATACGCTTAACACAGCTTAGATGTGGCACAAGGCCGAAAGTATGAGCACCCAGTGATGCTCGAACTTAGTCGTAATTCTTCTAGAGAGACAAGCTTGCTAACCATTACATCACGTGCAGGGTCCCAAATGATTTTCTACGCGTACATTACATGTGGCACAAGGCTGAAAGTATGAAGCACCTGGTGAGGATCGAACTCACTACTCCGTCGTAATTCTTCTAGCAAGAGAAGCTTGCTAACCATTATACCACTTCGAGGTGCCCAAATGATTTTCTAAACGTTCCCAGTTGTAATTCTTTTGGTCTTTTAATTATTTCGTTTCGTCTTTTTAGAAAAACCTTTTTCACTGTTTTCCCTCAAATATTTCTTAATATATAAAAATTTATATACCAGTATCCCATATATATATATATATATATATATATATATATATATATATATATATATATATATATATATATATAAAAAAAAGGCTTAAACACTAATATTCCATAAAATATAATTTATTCCATTGGAATCGTAGATACGATCCAATTCATCAGACCTACAAATTCAAAAAAGAAAAAACAAAAAAACAACTCCGGAAATAAAAATAGAATTTAGAGAGATTTTTTATGAGAGTGGTGTATATATATTTTGCATATGTATGTATATTTACCACTAATATTTATATATATATATATATATATATATATATATATATATATATATATATATATATATATATATATATAAAGAAAAAGAACAGTAAGATATATAATCCGGTGTTCTTATAGATATTTTTATTTTTACAAAATATGCTCAATGTAAATTTACAGAGCATTAATATTATAAAATTAATTGATTTAAAATATGTTTTTTCATTACACAATTCTAACCATGTTTCAAAAATGACTGCTAAAAGCCCCGAAATAATTTTTGACATTAAATTAAAGACATTAGTTCCATTTCATCTCATGCGAATTTTGGAGTAACTTTTATTCGCTTGAGGATGAAATGGAACTAATGTCTTTAATTTCGGGGCAAGGGCTTTTTTTCATTTTTGAAACATGGTTAGAACTGTGTAGCGAAAAAAAACATATTTTAAATCAATTAATTTATAATATATATATATATATATATATATATATATGTGTGTGTGTGTGTGTGTGTGTGTGTGTGTGTCTCGTGACTTTCGTCTGACTGAAACATTGAAGTGGATAAATACTGTATTAGTTTTTAGACTGGTATTTTTTTTATTTATTTTAGCTTTCACAGTTAAATTTCTATTTCTGACACGAACTTCAGTCCACAATGGGGTTGATAAGACAGACGACAGATATCTTAGTCTGCCGAAATAGGCTATCCCACATATGAGGTAATTTTGTATTTTATTGTTTATTAATTATTTGCTCTGTAACATAAATACATTGAGCTCTCTTTGTGGATCAGTTTTAATATTTTATATTACAAGGATCCACTTGGATTATATACCAACGGATTTATTACCTTTATATATATATATATATATATATATATATATATATATATATATGGCCTGACGATTGCATATAGCATGAAACAGACTGTCGCCTCTAAGTGTTGACTTCTATGTTCACTTTTATATTTACACGCTCTATCTCTGATACTGAGCACTTTATTCCATAAATATAGCACACCTTAAGACTATATTTCTTTTATATATATATATATATATATATATATATATATATACATAGTGTGTGTGCGTGTGTGTGTGACACGTTGTAATTAAAAAAAATTATTATTGTTATGGATGTTTTGGCTTCTGATTATATTCATATTAGTTTTACATGTGATTGGAATTAATTATTTTGATAGTATTAAGATTGTATTCATTTCTTTGGTTAGTAGATGTTAAGGAGTTAGTATTGTATCTCTATTTTTATCTAGTTTATTGTCATTGTTGTTGTTATTGTTGTTATTAATGTTATTTTAACCGTTTTATCTTGGAAATGATTAAAAATATTTTACTGGAATTCTCCGAGAGTCTTTTTTTTATTATTACTGGACTTTGAGCAATAAGAATGCATAATTACTCTCCAAGCTTAACAGAAGAATCGTGATAAACTTGATCATAATTGAAAATGACATGTTCATCATTAATTAATCATAGCTAAGGATCAGATATATATATCATTCAAGGATCATTTTCCAACTTATTCAAGATGATCTTCGTCCTTTCTAACCTTCTAACTTTCTGTCCTGGAGTAACAAGGTGCCTCACAGGTTTCACGTACGATTTCATTTTCAAGTCTTTTTTCCCTGCTCTTTAGACTATCATAACTGAAACTCCTCTCTCACGTGCCAAACATCTTATGGAATGAGTTGGATCTTTTCTAATTGATCACTTTCGCTCTAAGATGAAACGGTAATCCGTCTTCCTGTCGTGACCTCCAGATTCAGTTTTCTTCTCTACCGGTCCCTCTTTTTTTAAACTTATTCACCGTTCTCTTGATAGTTTTTCAATGGACTTTGAAAATAAAAGCCAGGGTATAAGTGCTGGTACCATTACTGAAAGCCCGTATGATCTTTTTTCTCTCACCATTTGGGAAGACAGTGGTGCTGACACAAAACGATTTTAACTTGTCCTCTTTCTAGCTGAATAACTCAAAGGGTTTTTTCTCAGTGATTCTTACGACAAACAGTGTCAAGATGACTAAACGTCTTATCTAAAAACCTGGGAAAAAGAAACTCAATTTGTTTTGTGTCTTTTTTTGTTTTGTTTTTTTGTTTATTTGGCTTTTCTTTTTTTTAGATATTAAACATTTTGTAGGATAGATAGTTATTTTCATAGTCTTATTTTATTTTGTTTTTTGTTTTCGTTTACCGACAAGCTAACTGAAGGAATTAAAGTGACCCGGAGTCTTTTCCGGCACCGATTTTCATAAAAATATCTGAACATCTCGTTTATCCACTTTCATAACTGCATTTGTTTTGACTATCTCCAGATGTCAAATTATTAATCGCTTTTTACGCTTGCAAATATGTCGACAAGTCAGCAGCGGCCATGTTAAGTCTCAGGCAACAATGAAGACAGTCAAGAGTTCAGTATTTTTCATAATACAGCTGGAAACTATCAAAAACAATCGGACATATATATATATAGATAGATAGATAGATAGATAGATAGATAGATAGATAGATAGATAGATAGATAGATAGATACTTCGTCAATCTACAAATGTATTTATTTAAATTATCCGTTGTAGATGATTTCTCGTGTGAATTTTTCAGTTGTTCTGTATCGTTGCATTTGGTTTCATATTAGTGTGAAATGTTTATAAAGAATAAAAAAACTTTCAAAATCTCTCTCTCTCTCTCTCTCTCTCTCGATATATATATATATATATATATATATATATATATATATATATTCTCTTTTCTTCGTTTCCTGTGAGATGACTTATGAAATAGGTTAGTGCCTAGTCCCTACCCCCTCCCCTACTCTTAAGTATTTTAATAAAAATAGATTTAAAATTATTCCTATCTCTCCCTTCCTTCTCTAATTTCGACCATATCTGTCGTCCTCCTCCTCTCCCTTTATCACCTTACACCAATTTACAACTTCCCCTCAAAAGTGTTTTAAAATAATACGTAAATTTAAAACCATTTTTTATGCTTGAAATGTGATCTGATGAACCAGGAAAAAAACACCTTCCTTGGGAAATAAAATATAATCAATGGATACTTAAGGTTGTCTGTTTTCTAATTAAATTAAATTAATATTTGCTCTGGTTTGATATTGAGCTCTCTGGATAACATCCTTCTTGGGATTATCCATACGGATTACCAAACTTTTCATTACCCATATATATATATATATATATATATATATATATGTGTGTGTGTGTGTGTGTGTGTGTGTGTGTGTGTGTGTGTGTGTGTGTGTGAGAGAGAGAGAGAGAGAGAGAGAGATAGTATTAGCGTTATATATATATATATATATATATATATATATATATATATATATAAGATTAATACAAATATGAAATTTGTCACTTAGCTGAGTAATGTTATATTCAGCAGCTCTACTGCAGAGTTTCGTAGACGAACCTTTGTGTAATTGTTCAGTCCACTCGTCAGGAGGTATCAGCTAATGTCTGTCAATTTTCTCATTTTCGTTATTTTTATATTAAAAATAGTTTATGCACTTTTTGCCGGCTTTAAGCTGTTTTTCTTCTTCTTCTTCTTCTTCTTCTTCTTCTTCTTCTTCTTTGTGTGTGTGTGTGTGTGTGTTCGCCAGCATATGTGTATCTGTGTATGAATGTGTGTGTTTATGTCTGTACGTGTGCGTAGGTGCAAACATGTAGGATATCGTGGTTTATTCTTTTCGTAATTTTATTGTCTCCTTCTACTCTCTCATTGTTCCTTTTCTTTCTTTTCTTTACCTTTCGGCTGAGTGTCAAAAGATGATGTAATATCCGGTGACAGAGACTACTTATATTTAGGTTAAGTTTCGGGAATATTCTGGGGTTTTCCAAAGTTTTTTTGTTTTTTTTAATATATAGGTGTATTTCTATTTTTTATGTTTTTTTTTTATCTATTTCTTGTTTAAATATCTACATTTTTTAATTAAAAAATCATTTCTATTTTTTATTTATTGATTGTTTAAATAATTCATTGTTTTTTAATTAATGCTTAAATGGCAAAGGATATATTTGCTTATATGCCTTCGCTTGCCCACTGTGTCGTTTTTCCTATCTATTAAGTAAGGGTGGGTGGAAAGAAACTCCCATCTATGGGTAAATAGCAGGACAGACCGGGTTCTATAGCCGTGGATGGCAACTGGTCTACCGCAGAAAGAAATGGCAACCTACTGCGGGAAAAATATGCCTCATCAGTCATGTATCGAAAGATACATGATCGCCTAAGCGTGTATCACGCATGGCACATAACTGACTGGAAAGAAACTCCCTATTGAAAATTACTTATCGCTTTTGTTAACATCTCTCTCATTTGCATGAAACAAAATATATGCTCAATAAGAAATATCCGTTTCCCTTCATACTGTCTTCAAAGACGATGACTTTGTATGATTTGTTAAAAATAATTATTTCAACTGTTATTGAAATCATAAACGTTGTCTTCGCGTTCTTCTGTCCATGCACAGTTTGAATTTAATTTCAACCCTTTGTTTTCACTCACTAATCACCAGGCTATATTTATGTTGTGGGAAGACAATTTATCTGGGGTCAGAATTAAGTGATTGATAACTCCGCCAGAATACAAACAAATTCTGTTTGCTTGAAATAATTTACTATAAAATAAAATATCGCTTATAGCAAGTGATTATCCTTTTCTTTTTTGTTTCTGATGTTATTGCTTCAAGCAGTTTGTTTTACCTTTTGTGATTAAATTAAAAAGAAAAAAAAAAGGTTTCTTCTTTTTCATGGCAAACAATTAATGTAATTGCAAAACTTTTGCCTTCCAGTCTTGATAGATGACAAATAATTGAACAGCTGCAATGGCAAATCTAAACCATTTAAATTCTTGTTGAATTATCGATAACTTTTTATTAGTTTCACCTTTTCAAGTAAATCCAATTATTAATTATTAATTATTCATTTGTTGTTTCCAACAATCAGAGTTAAATTAGTCTGAAACGTTTTCCTGAGCATTGCTCGATCCTATCTTTTTTCCTTTTTAAACTTACACTTTTAAACAAAAATTCTAGTTTAAAATCTTACGAAATATCTTCAGAAATCTATAATCCCAAAAAGGACAGACTAGACATAATTTACTTGAGAAAAGATGTTCAATTTGATAAGGCTATGTTTCCCTATATATGTGGGACGTGGGAATAAAAAGAGAAAGTGTATGTGTCAAAATTAACCCTCAAAGGCTTTAACTGAATTATAGTAATGAATTTAATCATAGCAAAAAGAGGAGAAAAAAGATTTCATGCCGCAATTTCAAGCAAGAAAATTAACCAGTTTTATCGAAGCTAATAGCATAAGATATTAAAACAAAAATGAGAAAAAGTTACAAAAGTAGGAATGAAGAACCAGCTGCGGCCTTAAGGTAACTTATTAACTAATAAGACCTGACCTTACTACGTATGTTTGAATACACACAAGTTAACTTGGCAACCAATGAGAGTTGGCCTTACTGCCCATTCATGAATACATGCTTAAGGTGACGTTAACCACTCAGAGATGAGTTTACTGCGCAGGTTTGCATACACACTTAAGGTAACACGCTAACCAATCAGATATGAGCTTACTGCGCATGTTTGAAACCACGCCTAACTTAACTTGCTAACCAATCAGAGTTTAACATACTGCGCCTGCTTAAATGCACGGTTGACAACCAATGAGATATAATTTTACTATGCATGCTTGAAGACACGCTTATGGTAACGTAACCAGATATTATTGTGTTTGCTTGAATATACACATTCCAGTTGTTCGTTGGTCGTGAGAGGAAACTTGTATATTGTGTGAACGTCGCATTTCCAGTAAATATGCGTCCAGAAAAAATAAACACTTTTTGAATGTCCCCACTACTTCTTCACGTTGGCTGCAGGGTAATTTGGCAGAATATCGCCTCACCCAGATTTTTCACTTTTCGCTACCACCATCAACACTTGCAGTTCAAAATTGGCCGCTTGCAACTTCTGGCTTTCATCAAAGTTAAAAACCCAGTTGAAATAATTATTTTGCCCCCACAGTCAAACCTAAGAAGAACTCTGCAAATCAACTGGTATCAACCCCTGAAGAGGAATCAAACGACTCTTTTTAGAAGAAGCATTGCTGGAATAAATGCATGACTGAGATTTTGTAAGGGTCTAACGAGTTTATATTTTCGTTTGTATTAAACTGTTAAAATATTTGTTTGACTGACCGGATGTACATGGTAATGCTAATTATAATATTAGTCGTTTCCTTATAAGGAAACATTCGGCATTCATTGACTAAGCAGCTAGTGCTACCTGAGTTATGCTTTGATACTACGCTTTGATCCCATGAGGCTGGGATCAAACAGTAGTATCTGTTTTCCTCATCTCGAATAGTAATGGTAATAATAGCCGTTTCCTTATAAAATATATTCGGCATTCATCAACCATGCTACTCGATGTACTCTTTTCTTCACTTCCTGTTCATCGGGCTGGGATCATAGTGTAATATCTGTTCTCTTCGTCTCTAATGGCAATGGTAATATCAGCCGTTTCCTTATGAGAAAACATTCAATATTCATTGACTGAATAACTAGTGTTGCTTTTGATTGACATTTATAAAATTCCGATGTCAACGGGGACTGGGCTATTTTTGTACCTGGCCAGGCTGTATGCGCTCGGGCTTCCCACAATAGTTTGACCTTGTATCAGATCAGTTACAGCTTCGTAGGTGGGGAGCAAGTAAATAGTGTAGTATCTGCCTTCGTGCGGACAAACTACATTTTATCTCTCAATTTTGTTTCTGTGTTCTGAGAGAACACAACAAATAAATGAGGAATGCCCGATCCCGGAGATTCAATCCTCTCCAGGAGCTTGGATCAAAGTGTAGTATCTGCCTTCGTGCGGACAAACTACAGTTTATTTCTCAATCGTGTTTCTGTCTTTGGCAGAACACAAGAAATAAATGACGGTCAGTGGAATATCGACGCCAGGTCGACCGAGGTTCCTGAGGCCGGGCAGGTTTGGGGATTTGGCCCATGTACACACGCTTGGGTTTAACACTTTAAACCGGCCTTGTGACATATCCCATCACCACAACGACGGGGGCCGAGGACGAATAAATAAATAAAAAAATAAATATCAAGTTCACATCACCTCTAAAATATGTTATCTTCTAAATAAATAAACGGTAAATTTTGTCTGTCCGTCCATGTGTGTGAAACCCCCCTAACTCGGGCCACACTTGCTCTACATAAACATATTCTACCTTTTTAAAAATCAGGATAATCTCGAGATTTAAAAGCTGTCCTTCATCTGGTGCTTGAACATCCAACATTTGGATTTGTGTCCGGATGAGGAGGGAACTGTTAAACATTCAAATTTTAAAATAACTGAAAAAAAAATTCGTGATTTTAAAAGTTTTTAATTTATATTGAGTTTAAAGTAACACAAAAACTTCGTGAATTTAGAAAAAAAATTGTTTTAAATTAAGTTTAAAACTTTGTGAATTGCGGGAATTAATTTTATTTCTTCAAAATGCCAAGGAATCAGAATTAAAG